AGGCTGGCGGTTCAAAACCACCAGCCACTCCTCAGAAGGAAGATGGGGCAATCTACTTCCGTAGTGATACTGCCTAGGAAACCCAAGGAGGGGTCGCTATGAGTCGGGGCTGACTCGACGGCACACAACAACAACAACAACAATTTATGGCATAAATAGACTATCAAGCATAACCCAAAACGCACAAACAGCAGAAGATAAACTAGATGATTGGGACCTTCTAAAAATTAATTTTTATGTGCATCAAAAGACTTCTCCAAGAGAGTAAAAAGGGAACCTACAGATTGGGAAAAAATATTTGGCAACAACATACCTGACAAGGGACTTATCTCTAAAATTTATAGAAAACTTCAACACCTCAACATTTAAAAGACAAACAATCCAATTAAAAAATGGGCAAAAGACATGAATAGACACTTCACTGAAGAGGATACTCAGGTGGCCAAAAAACACGTGAAGAAATGTTCACAATCATTACTATTAGAGAGATGCAAATCAAAACAACAATGACCTACCATCTCATCCCAGCACTAATAGCAAAGTTCAATAAGACAGAAAATAACAAATGCTAGTGAGAATAGGGAGAGATTGGGACTCTTATACACTGCTGGTTGTACTGTAAAATGATACAACCACTGTGGAAATCGGTATGGCAATTCCTTAAAAAGATGGAATTAGAAATACCATTTGATCCAGCAATATCATTACTAGGTATATGTTCTGGTTACCTAGTGACTCTCAGACAAGAAAATACCACAAATGGGATAGCCTTAACAAACAGGAGTTTATTCTCTTACATTTTGGAGGCTTTAATTCCGAGTTCAAACTGCCAGGCTCTGGGGGCTAGGTGAAAGCCCCTCAGCCTTGGGCTTCAGCTCTGCCTCCTGCTCCCGGCCCCGCTAGAGACTGAGAGCTAGAGCTATAGGTGTTTCTTCACTCAGACAGCTGCTGGCTGAGCTGCAAGCCCAAGGTTAACAAGTAAAATGGCACAGTCCTGATGTTACCAAACCACACGGAAGGCCATCAATTCAAGTCCATTGTAAGTCCCAAGGTCGGCAGAGCATGGCAAGCTATTGAACAACGACACAGCTACATGCAGGGTCCAAACGTGCCTTGAGCTAAAGACCATTCCCCAAGGCTTCTCCCTATATACAGGAAGCAGCCCACATTCCCTAAGGCAGCTACTCAC